TATACTTTTTCAAGGTAAATAGACTATAATATATCATTCTTTTATTATTTTGTCATGCATTGATATCTTTAGTTGTTTAGGGGTGGACATTGTACTCATTTCATCTCAATAAAAGTGGATTTGGTTGACGTGTGTATAACAATTTGAATAAGTACGTCTTCATATCATTGCCTCCTTGCGATAACATAAAATGGCTAATATCAGTATGGACTATACTTGCGAACTTGTATGGTATCGTTTCATGATTTACACACAATTCGCGCATTTAAAACTTATATTAGGTTATATATGAATAGTCTGTTCAGAATGTAGGCCATTTTTACATGATATTTCCCGGAGAGGTTTGTTTATTTCAAATGTAAAATTTCCACAAAATATATTTCTATGTACCCGAAGACATGAAAAAACACATCATAATTCCCTTCAAGAAATCCCCCGTAAAAACGCCCAACATTACACACTGAAAAAATTGAAGAAAAAAAACATACATGTATTTCTTAATAATAATTAATTAATCAATTAATTAAATCGGTTGAAATATTCATCAACCCCCAAAACATCCACGTTTGGGGTAAATAATATACCCCAGGGTAGTAAACATACATGAATGGTGGTCATTTTACATACAATTTCTATTGTCTGAGCACGTTCGTATGTATATTGAATTTTGCTTATTTTATTAAAGTGAATTTGATTAAAACAGAACTGAGAATATTAGAATGTCTTTGAGTTTATAAATATGTTAAAATGAGCACACATTATTATTTTGAAATTTGTTTATATAGAAGACAATTTTCAGTTAAAATTTTGACATCTTTTTCTGTTGAAATTTTAAAGAGGGAAGTGTGATTCTTACGAAAAATTATATATTTATCGAGGCAAAGTCATTCTATCCGATTATCAGTACTGTTTCGAAGCATACAATCAAATCCACCTTACTAGACAAAAGTCGATATACCAACGAAATTTCTCAGACAATAGAAGAGGAGTTTGTTTATTTCAAATGTAAAATTCTCAAATCACAAAAATTGCACAATTTTCTTCAATAGTTTCCTGTAATATCATCCAACATTACAGACTGAAAATTCTTTAAAAAACAAGTTATTTCTATCCACCCGAAGACAATCGAAAAAAATAAAGTTTCCTTTAAGACATTAACCCTAAAAATGTACCACATTGCACACTGAAAATTTTGATAGAAACAACGTATCTCTTAATAATAATTTTTTCATCGGTTTTAATATTCTTCCAACCACAGACAATCCACGTGTGAGTAATGTGTGCCACCAGGGAGCAAAGGGTTAAAATTGTTTTTTCCATAGACTTTACACTTGGGATAAAACACATTTGCTCTCCCTTCCATATGTTAATGAATTTATATGTAATAATATATCAAGGAAAGGGAAAAATAAATAAGATATAAACAGGGTTTCAATCGCCCCTTAAACTTCAATCGTCTGCTATATTATATTTCCTAAACCCAAATTTATCCCGATAGATATATTCCGATATTGTTGTAAAAACTTTGAATTACTGCAAATTTCATCCAATTAGATGATATCTAGAAAAAATAGGTTTTTATTCGATTTACCCTGAAAATCCAATATTTTAGGCAATCACAGAAAAAATCTGGACAGAGGTTCACTCATTTTACGGTAATCCCGATTGCATCATTCGGGTTTTTTCGGATATTTTCGCAAGGACCTCTGTCTTGAATACATTTGCGAGCTTTGTAATCTCATTGCGAAAAATATCACTAATCCCGATTACAACACTCGGGAGTTCTCGGACATTTTTGTAAAGACCTCTGTCTTGAATACATGGTCGAGTTTTCCAATCCGTTTGCGGAAAAATATTAGTGATCCCGATTACACCACTCGTGATTTCTTGGGAAATTTTGTATTGCCGTGAAAGCCTCTGTCTTGAATTAAGGGACGAGCTCATTATCACTATTCGTGGAAAACACCAGAAAATCCCGATTACATAAAGATTTCAGAACACAATCATTTTGACGTGCTTAAACAGAGTTCAGTGCCTTTAATTACTAATTCACCTTGTTCCGTTCAAACAATCTCTTCCGCTCTGTCTTGTGCAGTTTCTGCAAGTCTTTCAGAACTTTCAGGACGTACCGTGTGAGGATTTTCCCATCACCTAAAGGATCATATAAGCGCCAATGTCTGTTGCTTTGAAAAGTCCTATGTATTACCACTTTATTGCGGTACATAGCGTTTGATGATTTTACATTTGAAATCAACACACAGCAAAGTTTACTGTGAACATATATCGCAATTTCGATTGGGAATTCTCCTTTGTAAAATCAAATTTCCACATACCGCTTTTAAATAGGTTAAAGTAGGTCGTAAAACTCCATTCATTTCACTTTTTATTTTTTGAATAGGTTACAATACATTCCCATTTTATTTGGTCGTGAAACATGTAATCCGATTTTAATTTAACTCTGAATACTATAACTACTTTAACTACTTTAAACTATATCGGATTTTAATGGAACTATATATATAGAAAATAAGTTTTTATGTGCAGGCCGTATTCATCAATCATCTGTTATATAAAAACACAATTTCTCATTAGAAAGACCAAACACAACAGTAGCGACTCCGGTCTCGTGGGGTAAAAGCAGGCGGAAGGGGGGTTGGGTCTCTTGGGGTTGAAATTCCAAGCCGGGGGGTCTAAGGGGTTAAATTCCACACCCCTAGAAAAAAATTAATTTTCTGAGACACTTAGGGCTATTGGCGAATAACACATTTCTTAGAAACGAAGAAACGAAACGGGTGTGCAATAGGGGAAACAATCTATTTTTATGGATGGTCGGTTGCTCTATCCACTGCGCTTCCGACTTAAATACTCATGAATCATCAAAACTACAACTACTCAGACACATTAATTGATATACATAATATGTTATACACGTATTACAATCCATTTATAGAAATAGAAATGTTAAAACAGAACCTTAAAAAAACTCGTGATCTTCAGATAACTGACCTATTTTCGGCGTGCGTTCCTAGATAAGATGGACAAATAGAATCCTCATGCCTACACTTCGAAACAAATCCTTTTATATGTAGCTTCGATTGCAACCACGAGTATATTTTGTGTTGTGAATAAAAAGATTGCATCTAAATTGTCGGTTTGATTATAAGCCGAGAATTCTAAGGTTCGTTGAATCCTACTGTTAGACATAAAAATATAATTAACAGTATATAGTTATGATAATTCTGAATAGTTTAGGGCTGAATTCAGTTTGGTAAACACCCTAAAAATTATGAAATTCGGGTTAATAAAATTTCTCTTGAATTTATTCACTATTATAACAAATTCAGTAACATTTTCAATTTCACAAATGTATAGTCCGAAATATTCTGTAATTCTTCGTGCTTAGTCTTACTTTTCCCAATTGTTGCCATTTCATTTTCATTCATTCATTCATTCATTCATTCATTCATTCATTCATTCATTCATTCATTCATTCATTCAGTCAGTCAGTCAGTCACTCATCACCATATCATTCATTCATTTAATCACCCACTCATCCTAATTGTTATTTTACTTCATTCATTCATTCATTTCATTTATTCAATCGGATTTTTGTATCTAAATAAAGTGCCACCAACATGAAGTAAGCCAATATGCTGTGAGCCCTCTTTGATAATTCTGTTCCCCTACACATCCCCTCCTCCCAATTATTTCTTAAAACAAACAACTGCCCAGAAATTCAATCCGAATAGTCCAAAATCTTGAGTGGAAAAAATCCTGAAATAATGTTCATGTTTATATTTTTATCACAGTAAACACATTCGTAAACCAACATTACTATTTTGAACCTTACATTTATAGAAAAATAATCGGTAAAATTCGATTTACCAATGAATCTGCAAAGACTACTTCGGATAATACAGTGATTGTACAATGAAAACGTTTGTTAAACAGCTGTCCTGATGAAGGTTTTAAATCCGAAACACGAATGGAATAAAATTAACTCCTGTAAATTTGATATATCAATATTTTTAGTTGCACATATACAGTGTTATTGCTATTCGTCTTGAATGTGAAGAGATAATTTTGTCAGACAGAAAGTGGGAATGATGAAAGAAAATCCATACAAAAGATCGAAAACTTCTTTCAATTCCTTTATAACAAACTGTACAACATGAATGATTGATTAATACCACTAGAAATCACAGTTTGTATGCCCTTTTTTTCATCATTCATGGTTTAAGGTCAAATTCGGGAAGACAAAATTATGCCGAATTTGACCTTAAACCATGAATGATGAAAAAAAGGCATACAAACTGTAAAAAATGAATGATTGATTAATACCACTACAAATCACTCGAAATTGAAAGTGACCCCCTTGCCTTAACTCCCTCATATACTCTGCTTATAAAAAAATACACTTTTTTATAGGACAGTAGGCCACATCATTGTGAACTTTTCTTTTGGAGAAAACCTGTGTATTGAACAAATGCAGTTTTATAAAAAAAATAAGTCAATTAAATCATATTTAAGTCATTTATTCACCTAAATTTTTGGCAAAAATAATTGAATTCATTTCCAGCTGTCTGATGAGGATTTTATATCCGATACCCACCTAAATAGAATGAGATGAGCTCTTTTTAATTCATGATCATGAAGTTCAACTTCAATTGATTTGTTTCATTTAAATTGACAGTGATGTGGTTGATTGTGAAGGCTTAATTGTGTGGTTTTGAAAAAAAAGTCAGGAAAGTCAGGAAAAACTACTTATCAATAGGCAAGTTATGTTATGTTTTTTAAATTTAACTGTGTTCCCCTGTCAGTGACTTTAGAAAGAGCGTCTAGTCGATCGGATGAATCCCCGTATGATGCAGGCTTTGTGCAGTCCCGTTCCCTATTTAAGGATATAAATCGAAAAATCGATGGCACTGTCATGGCAAAAACACGTCTGTTGCATAATTACTATAAAAATATATTTTATTTTATTTCATTTTTGTGGTGAAATGGAATGGATGTTTGAAACTGTATGTTTTAAAGAAATTATGTTAACTGAATGTCACAGTTTTACAGAAGGTAAGCCAACTACACATATCTATACTATTGAAGTTCTTCCAAAAACATTTATCTTTGAGTGCAGTATTACCATTAGACTATATTTGATTTTATTTCATTTTTGTGGTGATATGCAATGGATGTTTGGAACTATATGTTTTAAAGAAACTATGTCTACTGAATGTCACAGTTTTACAGAAGGTAAGCCAACTACACACATATCTATATTTTTGAGGTATTTCCAAAAGCATATTTGTCTTTCAATGTTTTTTCTACGACAGTCCCTATCTAATGACATTAGCATGCCCCATGGAACCCGTTTTTGTTACATATTACAAAACACTGATGTTGCAAAGTGCAGTATTACCATTAGAATATATTTTATTTTATTTCATTTTTGTGGTGATATGTAATGGATGTTTGAAACGGTATGTTTTAAAGAAATTATGTTAACCGAATGTCACAGTTTTACAGAAAGTAAGCCAACTTCACACATATCTATACTTTTGAAGTATTTCCAAAAGCATTTGTCTTTGAATGTTTCTACGAAAATCTAATGACTTCAACCAATCATAGCATGTCCTATAGAACCCGTTTTTGATACATATTATAACAAAAGCTGTATTGGAATCCGCTAATTTGTGGGCGTATACATAATGGGAAGACAATTGCTTTTACACGTAGGACTATATTGTCCTGCAAATCGGCAATGGAATTAGCTGCTATTTAGGGTATACATTTTGGCCATCACATGACAAGATAGGCTTTTGTTCACACGTATTGAGCCTCTATACTTCCGTCTTACACGGCGCATACCAGCTCTACATGCTATGATTTTTACAGATTTTTTTATTTGTACCCACATTATTATTCATCTATGAAAGCTGTGATGGCATTTACAACTATGTGGGTGTATATTAGATGTGTTACCTCGCGACATGTAACACACTAATGTATAATGTTTAGTATTGAATGGTTTTGTAGATGATGGTTAAAAAGAATAGTTATAGATTATAGTTAAGAAGAGTAGTTATAGATAATGGTGACGAAGAATAGTTGTAGATAATGGTTAAGAAGAATAGTTATAGATGATAGTTTAGAAATATGGTTATAGATAATGGTTTACGAGAATAGTTATAGTTAATGGTTTACGAGAATAGTTATAGTTAATGCTTTACAAGAATAGTTATAGTTAATTGTTTACACGAATAGTTATAGTTAATGGTTTACATGAATAGTTATTGTTAATGGTGAAGAAGAATAGTTACAGACAACGATTTAGAAGAATTATTGTATATCATGGTTAAGTTAGATGGTAAGCGAGTTTTGTTTTAAACTAATGAAGCTTTTTGTTTCTTGTTTGCAGGTTAAAGTGGAACAGAAATTACATCTCATATTATACTGACTTTATCTGATACAAAACACAAACATTCTATACGTAGCTACCTCAAAAAGTATATGTAGTGGTTTTCAAATGCTAGATGGTTATTACCAGACTGTTTTAATGTCATTGTGAGATATTTCTTATTATTTCATATTGAGAGGCCTTGACCAACTGGCAGATTCAGGTCTATTAGATTGCGTTTGTAGAAAATTTGTTGTGGAATATCTCGGTATGGTATATCAACCAGTCAATATCTAAATGTACAATATTGTATTACTCTGTAGTATACCCTGAAATGTCTAGCAGATGTCCTTGGCTTACATGTTAGTTGTTTAAAGAGTTTTAAAGACTCCCATTTTGGATTGAGAAAAATGGCAGATATTTGAGTTCTGTTTTTTTCTGACATGTCCAGATAGTCCATGTGAATATTGGTGCAAAATTTCAGCATTGTAGCTTTTTAAGTTTTCACGCCAAAAATTTATTTGTCTTTGAGCACTTCTTGTGCACCAATATGCAGACTGCATATAGCTAGTTTGAAAACTTACAGATTTGGATTTGCTTTCTTGTGTTTTTTGAAGTCCTTGGGGTCTAATTAGTAGGAAAAGATCAAAACTTGAGCCAAAAGTTTGTATTTGAAAAAGTTGTCTATAGGCCATATTTTCCTCTATGGCCAATATGCATTAAAAATGTTAAAAAAAATATTTTCTGTTCTATGGCAGATATTTGAACGGAACATTTTTGCGAAAGCAGCACTAAAGGTGGAGGAGAGTAGGAGATGTAAATTTCATGCAATCAGCTGAAAATTTAAAGGTTTTGATCAGTTTTACGTGGTTAAACCATGATTTTAGGCAAATGGGGTAAACAATTTGGACAGAGGTTGTGTCAGTTTACGGTAATCCCGATTACATCATTCAAGTTTTCTCGGAAATTTTCGCAAGGACCTCTGTCTTCAATGAACAAGCTTGCCTGTCAAAATACGGAAAATATTAGTTCTCCCGATTACATCACTCGGCTTGCCTCGGAAATTTTCGCAATGACCTCTGTCTTGAATGAACGAGCTTACCTATCCAATAACGGAAAATATCAGTAATCCCGATTGAAATCGATCGGGATTTCTCGGTAATTTTCGAAAGGGCCTCTGTCTTGATACATGGTCGAGTTTTCCAATCCGTTTACGGAAAATATCAGTAAACCCGATTACAATACTCGGGATTTTTGGGGAAGTTTTGTATTGCTGCTTAGACCTCTGTCTTGAATTAGGGGACGAGCTCATTATAACTGTTCACGGAAATACCAGAAAATACCGATTACATGAATCCTCCAGAACACAATTAAATAGATAATCTTGACGTTCTTAAATAGAGTTCCGTACCTTTAATTACAATTCCATCTATCTCACTCTGTTCCGTTCAAATAGGTGTTGTATTCAGCTCTTTGCGCTCTGTCTAGTACAGTTACTGAATGCTTTCGGAACTTTCAAAACGAACATTGTGAAGTGCCCTTTCTAAACTTGTCTGTCTTTGTGTTTTTAAAACCCTAAGCGTCCAACATTTCGACAAAAAGGCGTGAACTATTGGGGATATAGGTACGTTAGTCTAGAATAGTAGGTACTCGGAATATAAGTTTTAACGCTGTAGTTAACACACGGAATGAGTGAATCAGAAAAGAATACGACCACCGATATTTTAATGGAAATTTCACAAAAGCTAGTTAAAACATTATAGAATCAAATTTGAAATTTTTTATCATAATGAAAGGTCTTATAACGTATAATAGTGTTTCCAAAATGTCTTCTTATTTCCTTGGAAAATTGTCAACGTTGTTTTTTTCTCTGTGTACTAGTGTAGAGTTTCCTTCTTTCTATTGGATTTGTTGACACATCATATTATTGTGTGCTCATTTTGCCCCTAAAGCGATCAATCCAACAGAACTGTCTGATACCTTCATTCTTTAACACTGTCATTTTGAAAGTAAGTCTTCTGTTTATTATTTATGGCTCTATGCGATGGTGGAGGTGTCATAAAATGCTTAGTTTAAGTGAAATTTCAAAGACCACATAAGTCTGATTGAAAATTGAAATAATGCAAATAGATGCTATCAGTGTCCCCGATACAAATACATACAAATACATATGGTCAATATGAGTATATATTCATCAGTGAATATACCTGGTGTCATAAAGAATCCCTGTAAAATGCATTTTTATTAAGTTTTTTGGATTTATCGGATTATATAAGGATCCTGTTATGTTATTTATGACACAAGGTATATCTAATGATAAATATATGCTCTTATTGGCCAAGTTTAAAGTTTTATTTTTATTCTAAGACGTAGTATCCCATTAAGTTACACTGTTTTCATTCAGTCACTCATTCATTCAGATATTCATTCAGTAATATATTCATTTAGTAATTCTTTCAGTAATTCAATCAGTAATTCATTCATTCATAAGTTAATGTATTCATTCAGTAAATTATCATTCATTCATTCATTCAGTAATTCACCATCGATCTAAAATAAAACAAGTTTATATTCATGCTGATGAAATGTAGGCCTACCGCCTTTATTATTAGATTCATATAAACAGTACTACAATGTTGTGATGAGTAACGTCGTTATATTGATAATCTGAGATGAACTATAACGTTCTGCTGATCAAAAATTGATCAAATTATGAAAAAAAAAACAAAACTATTAGCTTTCTAGTATTTGGAAGTTGGTCAATCAAAGCTGTAAAATATTTTTCAACTTCGGGGTATTCTTAAATAAAACGCGACACGGATTAATAATCTTTTTACTTCGGACCACAATAAGACTACATTCACCCCCCTTTGACCGCATGCAAATTTCATTGAATCACACAGCACGTGCAAGACGATAAAAAATGGATGCTAAAGGTTATGTGAAATTTATAGCAGAATTCTGTGTATTGAACGTCATATAAACAGTTTTACGAAAGGTCAGTTAAAAACATTGTTAAACTTTGAGACTTTGGTCTGCTAGCATTAATATCATGACATATTAAGTAATATTTTCAATTTCATAAAAGCGTAGTCCAAAGCGTTCTGTACTCTTGCGTGTTGATGTATGTCAATCGTATTCATTTTTTTATTATTAATTCATTCACTCATACGAATTTTCAGAAACATGTTTCGACAGAATGAGATGGGTGAATGTCTCTCGAATCGACGAATATCCTGAAAAGAACATCAGACTTAGACGTTTTGACCTTATTTTTATTACTGCATTCATTCATTTAAAAGGATAGTTTACTTCTTCCATTTCATACATTTTAAAAATATAAATACATCTGCTTCATTCATTCATTCATTCATGTATTAAAACAGTAAGTTATTTCATCTGTTTCATTCACTCATTCATTCACTCATTTATTCGGATGTTTGATTGTTTCTATCTGAGTAGCGTGTCGGCAGCATCAAATGAGTATCAATTCGAGACGAGTCTTCATAATGTGAACTTATCACGGTGTTGACTTTTCGTCTCGAATAGTTTGCTCATAGACCACTGTGGTGTCTGAATCGCATTTTGTCAAGTATTTTCATGTAAATTGAAATAACGTTCATAGGCAAATTCCGTTGAATCGAAGGAATTTAAATGAATTTGAATTTCAAAAGAGTACCGATAGTCTTAAAATGAGTTTGTGTTGACTAAAAAAGAAATTTGTGTAAGTTTATACTGATTAGAAACGTACTTTCGTACCAGAAATTTCAACTAAATAACAAATATACTAAATTATGCCTGGAAATTGCCCTCTGTAAAACAAATTTCTCAGCTCAACATGGATTATTTATTTCTACTACAGACCACACTCATTGAAAAGTTATCTCCCTTTGACCACGAGTAAACCCTGTTAATGAAATCTGTACTTGCTTTTTGTAGGTCGTGTTAATTCTAATATTGAAAGAAGCCCTATGTATTGAATATCATTTAAAACCGTTATGTTTAAGGTAAGCGATTTTCCCTTATATAGGATAGTTTACTTCATTTCCAAGTAAGATGTCCTGATGAGGATTTTATATCCGAATCTCGCATGGAAAGAATGTCATAACAAGGTCGAATCTTTTTGTAAATTAGGATCTAAAACCAAAAACGTCGAAAAGAAATTCAGAATGACGCAATTGTCCCTCTAAGCACAATCAAAAACTTGAAAACTGTAAATATGGATTGTTGATTTCTATTACAGACCACATTCAATTGAAATTGTCTCCCTTTGATCATTGGTAAACTCTGTTAATGACCACTAAACATTCTTATTTTAGTGTGTGTGAATTTGAGTTTTGTGTGAAATCCTTTGTATTGAGTTTCATTTAAAACAGTTATGTGAAAGGTACGCAAATGTATTCATTCATTCATTCCCCTAATAATGTATAATTTGTCCAATCCAGATTTCCTGATGATGATTTTATATCCAAAGCGGGCATGGCCACAATAAGATCCATTCCTGTCGAAGGGATATGGTAACCAATATTTATGATTGCACATTCTACTGGTTGTCATTTAGGCTTGACTGGTCTTTGGTCGAAACATTCTGATAATAAAGACCCTTAAACCACAAACGTCGGACGGAAATTATGGTGCGAATGTTCCCTTAATACAAAGCTTGTTGATTTCTATCATACTCAATTGAATTTAGTCTGCTTAGAGCACGAGTAAACGTTGTTAATTATCACTCTACTTTCTTATTGTAGGGCATGTGAATTCAGGTTTTGAAAGAAAAGTGTGTATTGAACACAAATACAAAGGTTACGAAAGGTAAGCACATTCATTTACTCTGTCACGCATTTATTCATTCATTCATTCGTCAGCTTTACCAAATGTCAAAAATCAGCTGGAATTGAGCTCTTGAAAATTAAGTATCATGGAAAAAAAACCTGTTTCTTAGTTATTGCATTTAATTTCATTTCAGTTATTTTTATTTTCATTGACGGTTACATAATTGTCCAAGTTGAACCCTAGTTTTCAAAGAAAGCCTATGTATTGAACGTAGGTTTTAAAGTGTTTTCAAAAGGCACGTCATTAGACCGGATTCATACATTCATTCAACTTTTTTCATTTGCTTATTCTTTAGTTCATTCGTTCATTCCTTACTTAATTGTAAAATTAATCCGATTCCAAAACTATCTGATAAGCTCGTTCTTTCTTTCATTCATTCATTTATTCCTTCCTTCCTTCCTTCCTTCCTTTATATTGAATAGTTTACATGTTTTCAAACCAGATTGCCTAAATTAAGATTTTTATTCGAAAATTATATCGTTTAATTTGATTATATTTCATGACAATTGGCGGTGATATGGATGTTCAGTTTTAGTTTTGAAATAATTTGAGTGTATTAAACAGAAACCTATTTTATATTCATTCATTAAATGTTTGAGTTCCGTATCATCTCAGATTTGTCTGGTGTTATAAAAACACTGACGTTTCTATGGGTCATGTCACACCTCCCTACACAGAATTCTTTCCATTCTCTGTTTTCCAAGTTGACCTTATTTCAATTTTGGATACCCCAGGCAAGACATAACTCAATCCTCAGAATTCATTTCATTCTGCAATACTTTGCCGATCAGTTGGAGAAAAGTAAAATGTTAAACTGTATTATTTTCAGTGATATGGATGGCCAAGTTAAGTTAAGTTAAGTTAAGTTAAATTCATTCATTCATTCTTTATCAAGTTAACCTTATTTCAATTTTGTATTCCCCTGTCAATGAATAATGCAGTGCATACGGACTGATATTGAAAAAGCCCAGTTTCCAAAAAATCCACCTTTAGAGGAATACTTCAGATCAATATGAACAATTTAAAGTTGCTGTAAAAGGAAATAGCTAAGGAATACTACAATACTTTGCCGATCAGGGACTAAGTAAAATGTAAAAAAGTAAAATGTTAAACTGCATTATATTATTTTCAGTGATATTGATGTTAAAGTTTTAAATTAAGTTAAGTTAAGTTCTGACCGAAATTAAGTTTAGGTGAAACCTTGCGTAACATTTAACGTTACGACTTTGATTTTAAAAACTTGTTGATTATGATGAATGTTTTAATTCCGTTGTATATATTTGATGTCATTGGTATAGATCAGTGGCCTTTACGCGGTATGACATCTCCCTCCTCAGAATTTCATTCATTCATTCACTCATTCACTCATTATCATTCATTCACCCATTCATTCATTCTTTGCCAAGTTATCTTTATTTCAATTTTGGATGTCCCTGTCAATGAATAATGCAGTTCATAGGTACTGATACTGAAATTTGTTTCCGAACAGCTTAGTAAAAACAATTTAAAGTTGCTTTAACAGTTTGAAATAGCTAAGAAATCCTGTAAAACTTTGCCGACCAAGGACTAACCAGTTGGAGAAAAGTAAAATGTTAAACTGCATTATTTTATTTTCAGTGATATTGAGGTTAATGGCCAAGTTAAGTTAAGTTTTATATTAAGTTAAGTTTTGACTGAAATTTAGTTTAGATGGTATCCTGATGTCCATTGAACGTTATAAAAAATACTTCCAGGTAAGCCTTACTTTGATTTTAAAAACTGTCGTGTTCATTATGATTAATGTGTAAATTTCGCTGTATTTTTGTGGTGTTATTGGTATAGATCAGTGTTTTTACGAGTTATGACATCTCCCTCCCCAGAATTCATTTCATTCATTCATTCATTCATTCATTCATTCATTCATTCATTCATTCATTATTCATTCATCATGTTTGCCGAGTTAAACTTATTTCAAGTTTGGATACCCCAGTCAAATGTCTGAGTTTCTGAACAGATCAGTGTGAAGTTGCTAACAGGAAATTGCTAAAGAGTACTTGAATACTTTGGCGACCAAGGACTGATCATTTGGAGAAAAGTAAAACGTTAAACTGCATTATTTTATTTTATTTTATTTTCGGTAATATCGATGGCCAAGTTAAGATTTAAATCAAGTAACGTTTTGACTGAAGTTTAGTTTACACGATATTTTGATGTCCATTGAACGTTATTAAAACAGTTTTATTTTCGAAAGGTAAGCCTGACTTTGATTTAAAAAACTTATGCATTACCATCAATGTTTTAATTCCGTTGCATTGTATTGCTGTTACTGATATAGATCAGTGGCGTTTTTACGGCGTATTTAAGATTTTAGGACTGACATGGTAAGATGGTCTGTAGAACAAATGTCCCCTGAATGCATAATATCCCGAGATAGATTAACATAGCTGTTCATACAAAATGCCCCTCTTTGCACTGTAACATTAAAATCCATATTCATTAAATTTCATTTTCATTTCATGTAACGGTGACCTGGGTATCAAATGCCAGGTAAATGTAGTTTTGATAGAATTTTAGTTTTGAAACATATCTTATAATCGAAAGAAATTAAAACTGTTTTACAAATTTAAGGTAAGCCAATTAAAATATACGTGATCTTCAGGGCAGAGACTTTTTACCATGCTGCGGTAAAAAGTACCCCTGTCATAAAAGCTGCGGTGTGGTAAACATTGGTTTTGTCTGTATTGATAACAAAGTTGAAAGGACAAATCTTTCACAAAACGTTTCCTTTCAAGATTGTCATTTTTGTTCAAATTGTGGTGGCCTTAGATCGGAGTCAAATTTTATAAAAGAAAATGGTACTTACTTGGAGTAAAAAAAAATCCGTCATCATTAATCCACATGGTGCAGAAAAGTAAGACGTAAAACTCCATTAATTCCGTTTGGACTAAAAATGCGTCATAAAAAACTTAATCTTACAGTTTCGCTCGTTGTCTGTATTAACAGCGTAATATGTGCACATTTGTTTTCCAATTTCAATAAGTGATTTCTTAAATAACATTGCCAGAAAATTGGCACAAATCATCTAGTGTTTAATTTTGCAGACCGCTTAAAATATGCGATAAGGGTTAAATTCGAGACCATGCCGATTTCCGAAAGCACTATCTGTGACTTATGAAAGGAAGTATTTCTTACCCTAAGAAGGATTTGAACCCACGGTATTTTATCGCATTACATATGCGGACTTTCTCATCACTTAATGAGCTATTCAACTAACGTATGATTTTGATTTGATTCGGACAGATTGAAGAGATGGTAAAGTCTAGCTTATATTGAATTTGTTACTTTTAACGAACAGTGTTCTACTTTGTAGTAACCCTCGCTGTACAGGAATTTGATCGAATTTAAAGATACACTTTTGTCTTATTACTTACAATAAAATGACTTGGCGTTCAGATATTTGCTCTTGAAATGCAAACCTGCAAACTTTGTCCCGTAACCACTCGTTTGTTTTCGAAACATTTCATTTCAATCTAGATCAGGGTTTTCCGACCTTTTCTGTCTATTGCACCTTTCAGAATCCTTGATGGAATGCATTACCTACCCTTCCCCTTATAGATCCTTACTATTTTTTCGATTTATCTTAGGCTTTACCTGTAAACCTTTTTATGTCGAAAAATATAATCCGGACTGAAAAAAAAATTAAATTATGATTGTCCATAAAGTTTATACTAGACTACCAAACAGCCTCAGTGGAAAACGTTATAGACTAACAATGCGGCCATGTACATCACTTTTAAGCTATATTTGATGCCACTGCAAGGCAATGACAATTTGTTCACAAAACACTTTGTAAAATATAAAGTTTAAGAAAGATTCAAAATAGAATAGCCATTTGGAATATATATGGCATTTTAAATCATCTATCTAATCTGTACCCCTTTAAACATCGCACTTTTGTTAAGAATGACATAATTTTCTGTAGTTGAAATAAACTACTTACTTTAATTACATTATATTGCCCTTTCACGAGAATAAACGCGGAGCAAGTCAACAATGTTTGAGTATGATATGATATTTCACGGTCAATAAAAACCAGCATTGATTATCCATTTTACGGGGCGCTTAACAAGTCAATGTAAAATTTTATCAGCTGATGGGGCCGCGTGACCTCTTTCAATGCTAAGCCTATGGGAAATTATACATGTTTCGACCTAATTTGGACTTTAAAAAAAAAAAAAAAAAAAAAAAAAAACAATTTGCAGCTTCACCACGGTCAAACCAGTTGAGATAGGATGTTGAAATTTTGACAGGTACTAGTTTGAAATCTTAGCTTTGCAATGCCACAAACCGCGATTCCATATCTGCCTTACTTTGGAAGCACTGAGCGTTTTAGTTTTGTCCATGAAAAACCGGATTTTTTGGCACTTTTCCGCAAAATAAAAAAGTGCTCAGAATTCACTTTTATGTACATTGGGAGAGAGCTAGAGAAGCACCGAGTCCAAAAAACCGGGTTACATCGATTTCCGAGACCAAAAAAATTCGACCCAAAAATGGATTTTGGTACCACAGGTAGCTACCTGTTGAAATTTGCCAATTTTGACTTTTTTGAAAATCCAAATTTTGCAGCTTCACCACGGTCAAACCAGTTGAGATAGGATGCTGAAATTTTGACAGGTACTAGTTTGAAATCTTAGCTTTGCAATGCCACAAACCGCGATTCCATATCTGCCTTACTTTGGAAGCACTGAGCGTTTTAGTTTTGTCCATGAAAAACCGGATTTTTTGGCACTTTTCCGCAAAATAAAAAAGTGCTCAGAATTCACTTTTATGCACATTGGGAGAGAGCTAGAGAAGCACCGAGTCCAAAAAACCGGGTTACATCGATTTCCGAGACCAAAAAAATTCGACCCAAAAATGGATTTTGGTACCACAGGTAGCTACCTGTTGAAATTTGCCAATTTTGACTTTTTTGAAAATCCAAATTTTGCAGCTTCACCACG